GTGAGATTGATTACCACAAATGTCATAACTTAAAAAAATAAAAAAAAAATTAAATTAAATTATAACCAAACTCTACATAATGTGTAGTGTAACCAAAAAGTTCTTTAATTATAATTAAAATAATGTCATAATTAACATCACAATAAGGGGTTGTTTTGGGTGTCTTAAATAAGTGCACTTTTTGTCTTTTTGGACTAAAAAATTAAAGAAAAAAATATAAATGTTTAGGTTAATTTTTTGACTTTTTATGAAAAAATGTGAATTAAAAAATTGTATAAATTAGTGTGTAGAGGACAATTATGATTGGGAGTTGTGCAGCCGTAATTTTTGACTTTTGGTGAATAGTGATAACTTCTTAACTTTTTGAGTAACTTTTTGACTTTTTTTTAATTTGCCAAACTTGATCTAAGTAAAATTTGATAAATGAAAGATTTTAAAGTTGGAAATCGATAATACTAAGGGTGAAAGTATAATGGGTAACCCAACGTACTTGAGTACTTGGTAAAGATTTGGAGACTAAAACCTCATGTATTAAGTTCAAAATTTCTTTAGCTAATTTTTTGGCCGTAGCATAGTTGGTTACAAGATAATTCTTAAGTTGTTGTTATCATAACACTTGATGTGGATTTGATACTTTTTTACTGTCCAAGTTTTGACTTAAGCCGAATTTGTCTTGGAGGTCAAGACAAATTCTTACATTATAGTCTCTTCACTACAAAAAAATGCATTTTTTGCGACGGTAAAGAGCCGTCGCAAATGCCCCGGAACCCGTCGCTAATACTTTTTGCGACGGTAATTTGGCTTTTTGCAACGGTAAGGGGGGGTCGCGACAAAGGGGGTTGTAAAAGAGCTTTAGCGACGGTAAGTACCGTCGCCATTAGTTTCTACGACGGTAAGGTGTGTTTTTTGCGACGGCACTTTTCCTGTCGCCAATAATGGAAAAAAAAATCAGTTTTCGCGACGGCACGTAATTCCTGTCGCTAAAACTCTGGCATCTTATAAGTATTGGCGACGGCAACGGTTACCGTCGCTAAAGGTGTCTTGTAAATTCCAATTGTACAGCTTTTGCGACTGTGTTGGTGCCGTCGCAAAAGCCTATTATTGTTTTTTGCGACGGGTTCTTCTCCCGTCTCAAAAAAAAAAAAAAAAACTGCTGAAAAATTATTAAAAAAATTAAAATAACCTGTATTAGATAAAAAATAACTATAAAAAAAAAAAAAATTACAGAATAATATAAATACGTACATAAACAAAAATTGACAAATAATGAAAATTAATAATATTGTTCCATTCATAGCAATACATAAATAAAAATTCATAACAATAAAAATTATGCCACTACATAACGTCGCATAATACATACATAATGTTGCTCACAATTTTAAATAACATAAATCAAAATCAAAACCAAAAGTTTTCGTCTTCATTCGTTCGTGGGTTACAAAAACAAAAATTGGTCATAATCTTGATACGCCCGCATTCCAGAAGAAGCCAACTGCTACTCAGGAAATATCTGAAAAAAACAAGATAAAAATAATTAAAAACCATATAATGGTGTTAATATTTTAATTATAGAAAAATATAAAAAAAAAAATTGACTACTATATAATTAGAAAGATAGTTTAGTAAATAATTTTGATTGGACCGAAATCCGGCTCTAACTCCCAAACCGGGAACCCGATTCGAGCCCCGTCTTCTCCCACAAGTCTCTCGTGCCTAGGCGGTCGTGTGTGGTAAGTTTCGTGCTAAACCGACGCCGTTTGGTGATTTTGGGGCGTTAACACCTCGAATTAAAGTTTCTTAAAGAAGTAGTTTGCCTAAAGTGAAATCCGACTCTAACTCCCAAACCGGGAACCTAATTCGAGCCCCGTCTTCTCCCACAAGTCTCTCGTGCCTAGGCGGTCGTGTGTGCCAAGTTTCGTGGTAAATCGACGCCGTTTGGTGATTTTGGAGCGTTAACTCCTCGAATTCAAGTTTCTTAAGGAACTAGTTTGCCCAAAGTGAAATTCGGCTCCAACTCCCAAACTGGGAACCCGATTCGGGCCCCATCTTTGCCTAAAGTGAAATCCGACTCCAACTCCCAAACCAGGAACCCAATTCGAGCCCCGTCTTCTCCCACAAGTCTCTCATGCCTAGGAGGTCGTGTGTGCCAAGTTTCGTGCTAAACCGACGCGATTTGGTGATTTTGGGGCCTTAACTCCTCGAATTCAAGTTTCTTAAGGAACTAATTTGCCTAAAGTGAAATCCGACTCTAACTATCAAACAATTTAATTTATATGGAACCTGTCTGTTGGGATTCATCAATCCCATTAATGTATTCGCTCGACATCCTATTTATCCTATTTGGCAAATCGATCCAACTCTTATCCATCATCTGTACACATCCACAAAAATATCTCATCAAAGTAACTCTAAATATAATACCTGCGTATTCATGTACCATGATACCTATCCATCCAATTTCTCTCAAATAGGTAGGTAGTCTTATCCTAGTTAGTTATTAACCGATTTAATAGGAGAACATAAAAAATGAAATACTTATACAACAACACGTGAGATCAATTAATTGAAGAAAAAAATGATATAATTTCATACTTTCTGAGTCATAACTTAAAAAATAAATAAATCATAACCAAACACCACATGAGGCACAACCAAAGATCTTATAAGTCTTAACTAAAATAATATCATAATTAACGAAGATAATTCATCATAACTAAAGAAAAAAAAAATGACATAACTAATGATGCATGTGATAAATGGATGTGTATGGTAGAATTCTCCAAATTATTAGTATTCCATAATACTATGCGGCATTATTTATAAACTTGATACATGAGTTATACAAAAACACACTAATCAAGTATGTTGTCTCAAAAATTATTTAATAAAGATGGATCATTATTCTGTGTATTATAATTTTGAGTATCACATACATAATCTTATGTAACAAAGTAGAATAAGAAAGCCCAGTCCAAGTTTCTTTTCTATCTATATATATGGAGGCCCAATTACTTTCCATACTACAAATTACTTCCACAAACACACCAGCAAAGATCAACCAGGTAACGTAAATACTTAAATGCATCGCACGCTACATGTTGGGAACATTGTAAGATATGCTCTCCTTGAAAGAAAATGCAAAAACTACATATAATGAAATGATAGCAGAACTGCATTAGCTATGGTTATGACGTTCACAGACTAGATAGATGTACAGTACAACCAAATTAAGCACAGAACCATTACATGTCGATAGAGTGGTGACTGGAACTTAAAATCCACCAAAAAATAAAGGCTTCAAGTTCCTGGATCAAGTCCCGGCCTAAATTCCCAAAAGTTTAGCAAATGATCAAAAAGACTACTTTTCGATACAGTTGTCTGGAAGAAAAACAGAACAAATGATGGGTACATCAATAACAGTATCAACAAAATTAAACTCATGATTTATTTTATTATAAGACTTAAACTTTGAGTTTTTTTCTTTTTTTTTTGTAATTTTTCATATTATTTTTTATTGGACACTTCTTATATTATTGAGAATTGCATTACTTTAGTGATTAACTAGTGTATATAATATGAGAAATTTGTTGGATTATATTATGAAATTTGAAGTATACCAATGAAGTTTTTTGAAACTCTTCAATCGTGGAACTAAACTGGATTTGAACAAATTTTGCCTTGTTAATCCACAGGTTATTTCATCTTAATCTAAAACGCACACATCGACTCCCTAGACTTGTGCCACTCCCTAAACTTCTGATAATTTAACTCTTTTTCAACTTATTTAAGTAGTTCTTTTTTTATGTTCCACAGAGAAATTGCACCAAAATCTCTTCCACCCAGAAAACAAAAAGTCAGAAGCACCATACTACACCGAACAAACATGAGAACCATACAAATATTAGTGTGCTGCAGAGTTGAAAAAAGACAGTGAGCTTTGTAAATGTTAGCAGGACAATCTGATGGATCATCTTTTGGGGGATTAAAGTTTCAGCTCAGGAAGGTTTCCTTTTGATCAGCAAGGGGATAACAAAAGTTGCACCTTAGGATTTCTATTCCATAGAAAGATTTTGTCAATTATCAAAAAGTTGAAATTGCAATATTCAAAGGAAACAACCAGGTAGTTCAAAACCAATATAGACGGATCACAAAACGAAATAGGAGTACCATTTACATTCGAAAATGCAAGCAGTGTTATTATAGAATACAACAAATAAAAAGAATAGACTCTTCATAGCCCATTTTTGCAATTTACAATTCCGATTACACTTTGGCCTTTCAGCATGAAAATGCACACCCTTCTTCATATAGAAAGTCAAATATATGAAAATAAACATATAGGGAGAAAATATTACAACTACAGAACTACTTTCCATGTTACCTTCCTAATTTTCATAAATGAAATCAAGTAGAGTCACTTCCTCCTGACCAAACTATTCTTGGACTAATTTGGTTGCATTTCGTGTTCAATTTTTTTTCCTAATTTATTTTTAAATATATAAAAATAGGTTGTGAATTTTTAAAAGTTTATTATTTGTCAAAATAATAAATGTTATTATTATTTATAATATTTCCATAAATGTAAGTCTCTCGTGCCTAGGCGGTCGTGTGTGCCAAGTTTCGTGCTAAATCCGGGTCTAACTCCCAATCCAGGAACCCGATTTGAGTCCCGTCTTCTCTCACAAGTCTCTTAACTTAGAATGTAAAGAATGCAAAGATACATTTTATACCTGATCTTCTGGTGGTGGTGTATATGGATTCTCGTCTTCTGCAGATTCCCTAAATGCCCGGTGGCCACTTGATGCATCAGGAACCTATGATAGTCAATGCATAATGTGTTAATCATATTCGAATTTGTGGACAAAAATATACTTTTACCTTCACATCCTTCCAGATAGCATCAACAATATCATCAGGCACATTGTTCCAGTCAAGAAAAGTAAGAGGAACAATGTTACCATTCTGCACAATAATGCCAAGTTGAGTAGTTAACTTAGCCACGTTATCCCCTATTGGATAGTAATTTTCATCAAATTGTATGTCTAGCTTTTTACCAGTACCCCACTCTTTAATGCCCTTGGCACATCCTCTACCACGCCTAGTCGAGGTTGATGAAGAACTAACATGACCTGCGAGATACAATAACAATAAACAATATGCAAGGGTAATAAACAAATGCAAATTTAAATAATGTGAATACAAATCGAATTCTTATACCTGAGGTGGGCTGTGAAGAAGTCGAAGGGTCTGCAAAATACAATAAGAATAAACAAGTTATATATAATGAGCATAAATAAATGTATGTTTAAATAATTTTCATACAAAATCAAAGCAAATTTATATACCTGCGGATGGCTCATAAGCTGATGACTCTAGTCGGGATGATAGCTGCTGTGGTGCCACTGATGGTGGACGCACCGATGGTAGACGTGGAGGCTGAGTACAAGGTAGCTGCTGTGGTGCCACTGATGGTGGTCGATGCGGTGGTACTAATGGCCCCTCAGATGGTGGTGGCACTAATGGCCCCTCCGATGGTGGCCGATGTGATGCATCCTCTGATGGTGGTTCCACTGATGTCCTGTTGTGTAGCACATTAGACATCATACACCGGGGATGATCAGGCTTTCTCTTCCTTCCCATAATAATCTGCAAGCAATATAACATTAATTGATATTAGAAACATAGACAATGGTTTGTCATCAACTATAATATGACATTAATTGAATTAATACAATTACAAAGACAAAGTAAATTAAGAAATTGATGATTGACTACAACCTTGGCCTTAATTGAAGTACTAATATTGATTAAATATCAGCCTATTTGAACATCAACTGTTTCCCCTTCTGCGGCTTCCCTCACCCAACCAACTTCTTCATCACGAAGCATTATATTTTCTTCCAATTGTTGGCTCATGTATGGCTCGATTTGTGGATCAGTCAAACTCATATCAAATAAACCTCTTTGAGACATTTTCACCACGACTTGCCAGTCTGGTTGTAACGGGTCTGCAACATACCAAACTTGCTCTACTTGGGACGCCAAGATGAAAAGTTCTTTGGTAATTCGATCATCTCGGTACAACAAATGATTGAAGTTCACCAACGTAAAATTGTAGACATCTTCTTTCTTTCCGTGAATGTTGTCAATCCAATCACACTTAAACAACACATGTTTCTTCTCATTGGAATATCGAATCTCAACAATATCTGTCAATTGTCCATAATAGTACACAGACCCCAGACGAGGATTCTTGTCTTTTCGACTAGCATAACTTATGGTATCTGCCTTCAAAGCTACACCACAATTTTGTGTGGCTCGACAATCATCCATGGCCTTTACTCGATACCAAAACCCATTTAGTATATAGCCGTTGAACCTCCTTTCCAGGTTATGAGGACCATTTGCCAATAGAATAATCTCTTCAGAAAATTTGACATCAGTAGTCCTTCGCAAAGTTTGGACCTATTTAAAACTAAAATGTAAAATTTAAAATGTACTTCGACTTAAGTAACTAGAATCTATATACTTAAATACATACATGTTCCTTGAACCAAATGTGAAAAGTTTCAAAATGTTCACGCCGAAGCTGATGATCGTCGACACGAGACATTTTGAGCTTCAGTACTTCAAGGTGTTTGCTGTGTAGATTGAAAATTTATCAATACAAAAAATTTGGTTGAAAATTCAAAAAAAACATAATAAAATATTGAGTGAGTGACTTAACCTACTTTATGAATGGTTGAACCGCGTTTATATTGAATAAGATGTACCGATAAGCTTGTACCCAAGAAGTATTATCAAGATAAAAGCTTGTGTTTTCACCAATAGCATGACCCAGATTATCAGCACCACTATAGTTCCTCACGGGTTGAGTAGATTTGGTTTCCACATCATTAAGATATTGTGCACAAAAATTCATGCATTCTTCCATAAGATATCCCTTAGGAATTGATCCTTCAGGATGAGCTCTATTACGCACGTATTGCTTCAAAGTAAGAAGATATCTCTCAATTGGATACATCCATCGAAACTGAATCGCTCCACCCAATAATGCTTCATTAGCTAGATGTATAGGCAAGTGCTCCATTATATCAAAAAAACTCGGAGGAAATATTTTATGTAGATGACAAAGTGTTACAGCGATACGATCTTGAATATATTGGAAATCCGTCGCACGATTCACTTTAGAACACAATTGTCTAAAGAAATTGCTCAATTCAGTCAAGGGTTCAATTACATTCTTCGGTAACGATCTTCGAATGGCCAATGGAATAAGTTGTTGCATCAGAATATGACTATCGTGGCTCTTAAGACCCCCAATACTTCTATCATGTGAGCGCATACAACGTGATATATTGGATGAATACTCTTCGGGAACTCTTACTTCCTTTAACACTTTCAAGAACAAATCTTTCTCATCCTTAGTCATCGTGAATTGTGTTGGTGGTAAATAGGCTTTATTCGACCCTCTTAACTGCAAATGTAGGGGTTTTCTAATATTCATATCTTGTAAATCACGTCGAGCATTAACACCATTCTTCGATTTTGTTGCTACCCCTAATATTGTCCACAACACATTGTCACAAACATTTTTCTCTATATGCATCACATCGAGGTTGTGTCTTACTAGATTGTGCTCCCAATATAGCAGTTCATAAAAGATACTCTTTTTCTTCCAGCTATGGGTGCGATGTCCAGCTTTCTCCTTCTCTACCTGTCTCCTATGCCTCTCCTTAAGGTCATCCCTCTTGTATTGGGTTAAAATACCCTCAGATTCTAATTGTAGCAACATCTCAGTTCCAGACAACAATTTTGGTTTGAGTCTGACTTCCAGACTACCATCAAATGATACTTTATCCTTCCAGAATTTTTAGCCAGTAGGTAAAAATCTACGATGACCCAAGTATGATTGTTTCCTACTACGCTTCAACCAGCACGGTGTAGTTTCCTTATTACAACAAGGACATGCATATTTGCTTTTAGTGCTCCATCCTGACAAGTTTGCTTATGCAGGAAAATCACTAATTGTCCACAGTAAAGCTGCATGCATTTGAAACATTTGATTTGTTGATACATCAAATGTTGACACACCCTCATTTCATAGTTCTTTCAACTCCTCAATCAACGGTTGCATATACACATCAATCTTGTCACCAGGTCCTTTTGGGCCGTCAATAAGCACGGATAAAATTAGAAATGGTTGCTTCATGCACATCCATGGCGGCAAGTTGTATGGAATGAGCACAACAGGCCAAGTGCTATGAACTATGTTCATCGTCCTGAATGGGTTAAAACCATCAGATGCTAAGCCAAGCCTTACACTTCAGCAATCATTACTGAAGTCAATATTCCGACGGTCAAAATCTTTCCATGCAAGGGAGTCAGCAGGATGCCTAAAGACACCATCATCAGTTCGTTCCTCTGCATGCCATCTCATTAACTTAGCCGTCTTGGATGACATAAACAACCTCTACAACCTTGGCTGTAAAGGAAAATACCTCATCTGTTTTGTAGATATTCGTTTGCCACCTTAGTTAGGACCATTTGAACCACCATCACCATTTGATTTCCATCTAGAACTGTTGCATATGACACATTTATCAAGATTGGCGTCCTCGTTTCGAAACAACATGCAACTGTTGGGACATGCATCCCACATCTCATACGTGAAGCCCAAATCTGTTGTGACCTTTTGAGCTTTATAATATGAGTTTGAGAGTTTCACACCCAATAGGAACGTCTCATTCAATAACTCAAGCAACATGTCAACAGACTTGTCTGTCCACTAATTAAGCACCTTCAAATGTAGAACTCGAACAATGAATGACAAAGATGTGAACTTCTGACAACCCGGATACAATTCACTTTGTGCATCTTGAAGAAGTTTGAAATATTTTGCAGTCTCTGCATTTGGACCGAGCTGGGGTTCAGATGCATGGGGATCAGGCCCCTGTGGTTCATTACCCTCAACACTTGTACCAGCATGTGGATTTCCCATAGCCCCTTGTATCATTCCAATCATATCATCCCCAATGTCTAAATTAGCTAATGTTCCATTCTCTCGATTACCATGCAAAGATACGTAAGATTCCCCATGATTAATCCAATGTTTGTATTTTTTAAAAAAACCATTCAAAATCAGATGCTCCTGTACACCCTCTCGTGCAAGATGGTATCGATTCTCACACTTCCTACACGGACAACTGATCATCGAACCTTCAACCCTATTGGTGTAGGCAAACACAAGGAATTCATCAATCCCATTAATGTATTCGCTCGACACTCTATTTGGCAAATCAATCCAACTCTTATCCATCATCTGTACACATCCACAAAAATATCTCATCAAAATAACTCTAAATATAATACCTATGTATTCATGTACCATGATACCTATCCGTCCAATTTCTCTCAAATAGGTAGGTGAACTTATCCTAGTTAGTTATTTACCGATTTGATAGGAGAACATAAAAAATTAAATACTTATACAACAACACATGAGATCAATTAATTGAAGAAAAAAATGATATAATTTCATATTTTTTAAGTCATAACTAAAAAAATAAATAAATCATAACCAAACACCACATGAGTCACAACCAAAGATCTTGTAAGTCTTAACTAAAATAATATCATAATTAACGAAAGTAATTCATCATAACTAAAGAAAAAAAAAATGACATAAGTAATGATGCATATGATAAATGGATGTGTATGGTAGAATTCTCCAAATTATTAGCATTCCATAATACTATGTGGCATTATTTATAAATTTGATAGATGAGTTATACAAAAACACACTAATCATATATTGTCTCAAAAATTATTTAATAAAGATGGATCATTATTCTGTATATTATAATTTTGAACATCACATACATAATCTTATGTAACAAAGTAGAATAAGAAAGCCCAGTCCAAGTTTCTTTTCTATCTATATATATGGAGGCCCAATTACTTTCCATACTACAAATTACTTCCACAAACACACCAGCAAAGATCAACCAGGTAACGTAAATACTTAAATGCCTCGCACGCTACATGTTGGGAACATTGTAAGATATGCTCTCCTTGAAAGAAAATGCAAAAACTACATATAATGAAATGATAGCAGAACTGCATTAGCTATGGTTATGAAGTTCACAGACTAGATAGATGTACAGTATAACCAAATAAAGCACAGAACCATTACCTGTCGATAGAGTGGTGACTGGAACTTAAAATCCACCAAAAAATAAATGCTTCAAGTTCCTGGATCAAGTCCCGGCCTAAATTCCCAAAAGTTTATCAAATGATCAAAAAGACTACTTTTCGATACAGTTGTCTGGAAGAAAAACAGAACAAATGATAGGTACATCAATAACAGTATCAGC